CAGACATCACCACCATCACCATCATCACCACCATCACCATCATCATCACCATCACCACCAACACCACCACCACCATCATCACCATCACCATCATCACCACTATCACCATCATTATCACCATCACCACCAACACCACCATCACCACCACCATCACCACCATCATCACCACCATCACCACCATCACCAACACCATCACCACTATCACAACCATCATCACCACCATCATCATCACCATCACCACCAACACCACCACTATCACCACCATCACCACCACCACCATCATCACCACTATCACCACCATCACCACCACCATCACCACCATCACCACCACCATCACCACCATCATCACCACCATCACCACCATCACCAACACCATCACCACAATCACCACCACCATCACCACCATCACCAACACTACCACCACTACCAACACCATCACCACCATCACCACCATCACCAACACCATCACCACCATCACCACCACTATCACCATCACCATCATCACCACCACCATTATCACCATCATCACCACCATCACCACCATCACCATCATCACCACCATCATCACCATCATCACCACCATCATCACCACCACCATTATCACCATCATCATCACCATCATCACCACCATCACCACCATCACCATCATCACCACCACCATCATCACCATCATCACCACCATCATCACCACCATCATCACTACCACCACCATCATCACCACCATCATCATCATCATCATCATCGTGACGAGGCGAGACACAATCATCATTGGCCATATTCGCCATCGTTATCGCTGTCATCGCAGTCACGTGGCTCGCTACCCCGCGCGTGTGTCTCTACCCACACACCGTGTCTCCACCCACAGTGTCTCCACCCACAGTGTCTCCACCCACACTGTGTCTCTACCCACACTGTGTCTCTACCCACACTGTGTCTCTACCCACACTGTCTCTACCCGCGCGTGTGTCTCTACCCACACACTGTGTCTCTACCCACACACCGTGTCTCTACCCACAGGTCTCCACCCACAGTGTCACCACCCACAGTGTCTCCACCCACAGTGTCTCCATCCACAGTGTCTCTACCCACACTGTGTCTCCACCCACACTGTGTCTCTACCCACACTGTGTCTCTACCCACACTGTGTCTCTACCCACACACTGTGTCTCTACCCACAGTGTCTCCACCCACAGTGTCTCCACCCACAGTATCTCTACCCACACTGTGTCTCCACCCACACTGTGTCTCTATCCCACACTGTGTCTCCACCCACACTGTGTCTCTACCCACAGTGTCTCCACCCACAGTGTCACCACCCACAGTGTCTCCACCCACGCCGTGTGTCTCTACCCACACTGTGTCTCCACCCACACCGTGCGTGTTCACCCACACCAAGCGTCTCCACCTACACTGTGTCTCTACCCACACTGTGTGTCTCCACCCACACCGTGTGTCTCTACCCACACTGTCTGTCTCCACACTGTGTGTCTCCACCCACGCGTGCGTCTCCACCCACACTGTGTGTCTCCACCCACACCGTGTGTCTCTACCCACACCGTGCGTCTCAACCCACACCGTGCGTCTCTACCCACACCGTGCGTCTCCACCCACACCGTGCGTCTCCACCCACACCGTGTGTCTCTACCCACGCGTGTGTCTCTACCCTCACTGTCTGTCTCCACACTGTGTGTCTCCACCCACGCGTGCGTCTCCACCCACACTGTGTGTTTCCACCCACACCGTGTGTCTCTACCCACACCGTGCGTCTCCACCCACACCGTGCGTCTCCACCCACGCCGTGTGTCTCTACCCACACCGTGTGTCTCTACCCACACCGTGCGTCTCCACCCACGGCGTGCGTCTCTGTAGAGGAGCGGTGGCGCAGCAGTTAGCTCGCCGTGCTCCAACCCATGTCGGCTCACGATCACCAACACCGGCGGTGACGATTATCTGACCGGGTCCTGGGCCTCCCCTAGGTCGACTCGGCCTCAAATGAGTACGAGCTGATGCGGGCGTGCAGCAAACATCGCCGCTCGGGAGGCAAAATGCGTCCGGGCGTGGTTCCGGCCACACCGACACCACTCCCACCACCACCCACGTGTGCCGTGCCGGTAGCCTTCACAGGTGGTACGCGCTCACAGCGCTTGCCCCAACAGTCTGTTGAGGCTACACGGGGGACCTTTGTCTTTGTGTGCACACAGAGTGCCCAGGCGGAGCGGGGACGCCGTGCTCACGACACGGCCAATGCTTCGACGGAATACAGAACAACGGCACCTGTGAGTGTCAGGTGAGTGTGTCAGGTGAGTGTGTCAGGTGTCAGGTGAGTGTCAGTGTCAGGTGAGTGTGTCAGGTGAGTGTCAGGTGAGTGTCAGGTGAGTGTCAGTGTCAGGTGAGTGTGTCAGGTGAGTGTGTCAGGTGAGTGTGTCAGGTGAGTGTCAGTGTCAGTATCAGGTGAGTGTCAGTGTCAGGTGTCAGGTGAGTGTCAGGTGAGTGTCAGGTGAGTGTCAGTGTCAGGTGAGTGTCAGGTGAGTGTCAGTGTCAGGTGAGTGTGTCAGGTGAGTGTCAGGTGAGTGTCAGGTGTCAGGTGAGTGTCAGGTGAGTGTCGGTGTCAGGTGAGTGTCAGTGTCAGGTGAGTGTCGGTGTCAGGTGAGTGTCAGTGTCAGGTGAGTGTCAGGTGAGTGTCAGTGTCAGGTGAGTGTTTGGTAATGATGGTTGTAGTGATGTTAATGGTGATGTTGGAGATGTAGTGGTGATGATGATTACGATAATAGCACTGATAGTAATTAATGATGATGTTGGTAATTGTTAAGCAAGTTAAATGACGCAATGATGTTGATGCTGGCGATGTTAATGATGGTGATAATGATGATGATTTTTGATTTAAAGCTTTCGTGACTGCAGTAATTCATATTCTTAGTTTTTTCGGTAAAGTCACGTTGAAGAGAAACAACAAAATAACAAAATAAATTTATGCAAACCGACACACCTGATGATGACCGGTTGAGTTATGGTCGAAACGTCGTGAGAATTTTTTATTGTTTTATATATATTTTGTTATTTTGTTGTTTCTCTTCAACGTGACTTTACCGAAAAAAACTAAGAAAAATGATGATGATGTTGTTGGTGATATTATTATTGATAATTTTGATGATAATGATGTAATGATCAAGGTAACGATGATGTCAATGAGGATGATGGTGGTGATGTGGACGACGATGGTGATGTGGACGACGGTGGTGATGTGACGACGGTGGTGATGTTGACGATGGTGATGTTGACGATGGTGGTGATGTGGACGACGATGGTGATGTGGACGACGGTGGTGATGTTGACGACGGTGGTGATGTTGACGATGGTGATGTTGACGATGGTGGTGATGTTGACGATGGTGATGTTGACGATGGTGGTGATGTTGACGACGATGGTGATGTTGACGATAGTGGTGATGTTGACGACGGTGGGGATGTTGACGATGGTGGTGATGTTGACGATGGTGATGATGTTGACGGTGGTGATGTTGACGATGGTGGTGATGTTGAAGACGGTGGGGATGTTGACGACGGTGATGTTGACGGTGGTGATGTTGACGACGGTGGTGATGTTGACAGTGGTGATGTTGACAACGGTGGTGATGTTGACGGTGGTGATGTTGACGATGATGGTGATGTTGACGATGGTGGTGATGTTGAAGACGGTGGGGATGTTGACGACGGTGATGTTGACGGTGGTGATGTTGACGACGGTGGTGATGTTGACAGTGGTGATGTTGACAACGGTGGTGATGTTGACGATGGTGGTGGTGATATTAACGACGGTGATGTTGACGGTGGTGATGTTGACGACGGTGATGTTGACGGTGGTGATGTTGACGACGGTGGTGATGTTGACGACGGTGGTGATGTTGACGATGATGGTGATGTTGACGATGGTGGTGATGTTGACGACGGTGGTGATGATGGCAGCACGGATTCACCGGCACGGCCTGCGAGGACTGCGAGGATCCCCACGCCTTCTCACCAAACTGCAATCAGAGTGAGCTCAGACGCGCACTCCCCTAGATCAACTCGGCATGAAATAAGAGGCGCTACGGTGCCCGGATGTTAACTATCGAACCCAATACCTCCTGCAGGAGGTATTGGGTTCGATCTCGACCCTGACGCCTGCTGCTGCTGCTGTATATTTGGAGTTTTGCGTGTCCCTGTCTATTTTTCTCTCCCCGTGGTCGCGTGGATTTTACTCGGGGCCCTCCAACGTCACCCGTTGGAGGGCCATCATCACCACCACGTGAATGTCCACGTGGTGGTGATGATGATGATGACGATGATGATGACGAGAATCCGCCACTTCGTTGAGCGGGTATCATTTGTGATGGCCAGGTCGCTTCTGAAATAAGTAATATTAAAAAAAAAACTTTTTTTTTAAAGCACGCTTTTATTAAATGTACCGTATTAGTGATGGAAGAACTCCACGACTACAGGAAGTGGCCCCGAAACTTGTCACAACGTAAGGGGACCTTGGCCAATTACAGCCAACGTAAGTTTAGCGTGGACAATTAGAGCCAAGCCGACACATAACATGTAAAAAAATATGTTGTTGTATTTTTAATAACATAAGTATACCAAGTTTGCAGTGGTGTAGCTACAACATGTGTAGTTACTACTACATGTGTAGTTACTACAACATGTGTAGTTACTACTACATGTGTAGTTACTACTACATGTGTAGTTACTACTACATATGTAGTTACTACAACATGTGTAGCTACTTCTTGTGGAGCTACTACTACACGTGTAGCTACTACATGTGTAGTTACTACTACATGTGTAGCTACTACATGTGTAGCTACTACTACATGTGTAGTTACTACATGTGTAGCTACTACATGTGTAGCTACTACATGTGTAGTTACTACTACATGTGTAGCTACTACATGTGTAGCTACTACATGTGTAGCTACTACTACACGTGTAGCTACTACCATGTGTAGTTACTACTACACGTGTAGCTACTACATGTGTAGCTACTACATGTGTAGCTACTGCATGTGTAGTTACTACTACACGTGTAGCTACTACATGTGTAGTTACAACTACACGTGTAGCTACTACATGTGTAGCTACTACATGTGTAGTTACTACTACACGTGTAGCTACTACATGTGTAGTTACTACTACACGTGTAGCTACTACATGTGTAGTTACTACTACACGTGTAGCTACTACATGTGTAGTTACTACTACACGTGTAGCTACTACATGTGTAGTTACTACTACTTGTGTAGCTACTGCATGTGTAGCTACTACTTGTGTAGTTACTACTACATGTGTAGCTACTACATGTGTCGCTACTACTACTTGTGTAGCTACTACTACATGTGTCGCTACTACTACATGTGTCGCTACTACTACTTGTGTAGCTACTACTACATGTGTAGCTACTATTACTTGTGTAGCTACTACACGTGTACGTAGAAGAAGACCAACACGACCGCGCGCACCTTCTGCCTCGCCGAGCACGTGAAAGGTCGACGCCGTCTGCGACATGGGCCAGCCGCCTGCGTGCCAACACACGTGTCCAAAAACCGGGCACATTTCGAGAAGAAAAATGACTTCGTTGGGATCGACAGGGCAAGCCGTCATCACCCCCCCTCTGCCCCCATTCGTCCCCCTACTGCGAACACTCGGCAGGACCCTCCTGGCAACCAGAAGTCGCGAGACTCCGTGAGGATTTCCTTGGCCGACCACAGCAGGCCAAGAACGACGAGAGTCATCATCTATGGCTTTTGGCCATGATGACGTCTGGATCTGTCCAGTGGAATATGCAACGTTGGGTCAACGTCGGACCAACGTTTGGCCAACGTGGGTCAACGTCGGAACCAACGTTTGGCCAAACCTCGGATCAACGTTTGGCCAACGTCGGGCCAACGTCTAGGCCAACGTTTGGCCAACGTTTAGCCACCGTTTGGCCAACGTGGGGGCAACGTTTGGCCAACGTTGGACCGTGGTGTGGTCGCGGTTCGCACGCTGCCGACCCAATATTCACCGGCAAGGTCCCAGACGTCATCGTGGCCACCGGGGAGACAAAGGCGGCCGGACGTGCTGCTGGGCACCTCCCCCCGCCCCCCACCCCCCTGTGGACCGTGCCGGCCTTCGTAGGTGGCGCTGCTACTCGCAGACAGCACTTGCCCCCGCAGTCCGTTGAAGGCTACACGGGGGACCTTTGTCTGTGTGTGTGACTTGAGCAGCGTGCGTCTGTGTCTACGGGGACTGCGACCGTGGGGTGAACGGGACGGGCGCCTGCTCCTGCGCCTCCGGCTACGACGGGCAGGCCTGTGACCAACGTGAGCCCCCCACAACCACCCACCCACCACTACCCAACCACCCACCCACCACTACCCAACCACCCACCCATCACTACACCCCCCCACCCACCCACCACTACACCCCCCCAACCACCCACCCACCACCACTACCCCCCCCCCACCCACCCACCACTACCCCCCCCCACCCACCACCACTACCCCCCCACCCACCCACCACCACTCCCCCCCACCCACCCACCACCACTACCCCCACCCACCCACCACCACTACCCCCCACCCACCCACCAACACTACCCCCACCCACCCACCACCACTACCCCCATCCACCCACCACTACCCCCACCCACCCACCACCACTACCCCCCCACCCACCCACCACCACTACCCCCCCACCCACCCACCACCACTACCCCCACCCACCCACCACCACTACCCCCACCCACCCACCACCACTACCCCCCACCCACCCACCACCACTACCCCCCCAACCACCCACCCACCACCACTACCCCCCCCCCACCCACCACCACTACCCCCCCCCACCCACCACCACTACCCCCCACCCACCACCACTACCCCTCCACCCACCACCACCCCCCCACCATCCCCCCCTCCACCATCTCTCTCTGTATCTCTGTCTGTGTATGTCTCTCTCTCTCTCTTTGTCTGCCTCTCTCTCGTTGTTTGTCTCTGTCTCTTTCTCTCTCTGTGTATCTCTGTCTCTCTCTGTCTTTCTGTGTGTGTGTGTGTCTAGCTCTGTGTGTGTGTGTCTGTCTCTCTGTCTGCCTCTCTCTCGCTGTCTGATTCTCTCTGTCTGTCTGCCTCTCTGTCTCTCTCTCTCTGTCTGTCTCTCTGTCTTTCTCTCTGTCTGTCTGTCTCTCTGTCTTTCTCTCTGTCTGTCTCTCTATCTCTCTGTCTGTCTCTCCTATCTCTGTATCTCTGTCTGTCTCTCTATCTCTGTATCCCTGTCTGTCTCTCTGTCTTTCTCTCTCTCTGTCTGTCTGCCTCTCTGTCTGCCTCTCTCTCTCTGTCTCTCTCTCTGTATCTCTCTCTTTCTGTCTCTCTGTCTTTCTCTTTGTCTCTCTGTCTTTCTCTGTCTCTGTCTTTCTCTCTCTCGCTGTCTGACTCTCTCTGTCTGTCTGCCTCTCTGTCTGTCTGTCTCTCTCTCTCTGTCTCTATCTCTTTCTCTCTGTCTTTCTGTCTGTCTCTCTGTCTCTCTGTCTGTCTCTGTCTTTCTCTGTCTCTGTGTGTCTGTCTGTCTCTCTCTCTGTCTCTCTCTGTCTCTCTGTCTGTCTCTCTGTCTCTCTCTCTGTGTCTCTCTCTGTCTCTCTGTCTTTCTCTCTCTCTCTGCCTTTCTCTCTGTCTCTCTGTCTGTCTCTCTGTCTCTCTGTCTGTCTCTCTCTGTCTTTCTCTGTCTCTGTGTCTGTCTGTCTCTCTCTCTCTGTCTCTCTCTCTGTCTCTCTGTCTGTCTCTCTGTCTGCCTCTCTGTCTCTCTCTCTGTGTCTCTCTCTGTCTCTCTGTCTGTCTCTCTGTCTCTCTCTTTCTGTGTCTCCCTCTGTCTCTCTCTGTCTCTCTGTCTGTCTCTCTCTGTCTTTCTCTGTCTCTGTGTGGCCCGCCACTCCGCCGTGCATCTGGGACCCTCCGTCAGTCAAAGACGGCTTCAGCCGTGGCGCCTCCTGCCCAAGCTGCATTCACTGTCCTCAGCAGGTCACTGTGATGGTGGCGATGATGATGGGTGGTGATGGCGAAGATGATGATTGTGATAATGCTCATAATGATGATGGTGATGACGATGGCGATGATGGTTGATAACGATAGCGATGATGGCGGTGATGTTGACGATGGTGGTGGTTATGTTGATGATGGTAGTAGTGATGATGGTGGTTATGATGATGATGATGGCGATGATGATGATGATGGCGAAAATGATGATGGTGGTGGTGTGGTAATGATGGTGATGATAATGATGATGGTGATGACGGCGATAATGATGATGGCAATGATGATGGCGATGGTGGTGGTGTTGACGATGGCGATATTGATGATGGTGGTAATGATGATGATGGTGGTAATGATGGTGGTAATGATGATGATGGTGGTAATGATGGATACGTTCCCCGATCCAAAATCACTTCCGACCTTCTTGCCGTCCTCCGCCGTACGTTGAACTTCTTTCGCACCAGTACGTTAGCCAAGTGTGTTTGATCGGAGGTGCGCGTGTTGGTTATTTCCCCCAATTTCTCTTGGCTTCGTCTCCGTTGTAGCTTCCTCTCTCCCGCACCTCCGACGAGCACAGTCGCATATTGCTTTGGAAGCTTTCGTGGCCGCAGGAATCCCACACTCTTTGATTCTTTCAGTGAAGCCACCGTGGGTAGAAAAAATAAAATAAAGCACGACGTTTCGGGCGCAGCACAAGCGTCCGTCATCAGGTGGGAAAAGCTTCGATTCCTGCTGCTGAGGCAGCCCGTTGGCCACGTACGGTGCGAAAGAAGTTCAACGCACACGCCGTGGGCGTTCGCCTCTCACGCCACCGCGCGCTGCCTTCACAACGCGAATTGGATATAGAACGCGATGATGGAACGTGGGCGGGGAGTCGGAACGAGCGTTCGTGGCGCAGGGCGCGTTGGGATGCTGCTGGATGCTTCGAGACGCTGCCCACGGGGCTTCGGTCTTTGTCCCGGGCCTGCGTCACGCATACCGCGTGCTATCGCGGCTGCGCTGTACCCAATGTCATTTGATGGGTAAAGCGATGTTTCCAACACATTCTCCTGCGGAGGGAGCCGGTAGGGACGTTGGGTTGCTTCGGTCAGTGGCCAGGGTCAACAACAACGGCGGCACACTGTGGTGTATTCCGCACAATGTGCCCGACTGTGAGGGCGGGGCACAAGCCGGCGTGAGTAGGTCTAAACCGTTGAGTTTTATAAGGGCACCACGGGGTGACCAGCCCCTCCCCACCCAGCACCATTCCTCCTCCACCCCCCACCCAGCCCCACCCCTCCCACCCCCCACCCAGCCCCACCCCACCCTCCCCTCCCCACCCTCCCCACCCAGCCCCTCCCCCACCCTCCCCACCCTCTCCTCCCCTCCCCACCCAGCCCTCCCCACCCAGCCCCTCCCCACCCAGCCCCTCTCCACCCAGCCCCACCCATCCCACATTTGGATGCACGACGGACGGACGGACACAATAATCCCCTGTGGGCTGCTGGTGGTGTAGTAGTAATGACCAGGAGGTTCCTACACAGGACTAAGGCGGTGCCCTTCGCGAACGCGACTGCTACTGCCCACACCAACGTCGTTGCTTTGTTGTTTTGATTCGCTTCCGTGACTGTGGTGGCCCGCGTGGGCCGTGCGAGCGAGACGCTGAGGAGCTCAGTGGGCTTTGCCTCGTAGCACGGGGGATGGTTTCGTTGTTGTGTTTGTCGGTATTTTGGCTGACTTGTCTGGCTTTCTTGTACCGTGGAACGACTGTCGTGGCTTTTTGCATCGTTCGTTTTGTTGTTAGGGTTCTCACCCCGTGCACCCCGCCTGGACATCTGTGAGAAAGAGCTTCACAGCTCATCGGATTCCTCCTGCAGCGTGAAAACGAACGTTCCGACTCTTGACTTGAAACTTCTCTCTCGCGCCACTCCGCCCGAGTCCGTGACCGTGTCCCTCTCTGTCGTTGTGGCCGGGCCAGCGATTCCCGAGTGCCGCGTTCTGGGATGCCACAAGCTGGCCCGGTGCGTGCGGGCGCCGAGCGGGAAACTCGAGTGCAGCTGCCAGCAGGGATACCGGGGAAACGGCACCACGTGCCAGAGTGAGCACCGGCACGCGGCCTCGCTCAACCACCTGCACCACGTGACCTCGCTCACCCACCTGCACCACACGGCCTCGCTCACCCACCTCCACAACGTGGCCTCGCTCACCCACCTGCACCACGTGACCTCCCTCACCCACCTCCACCACGTGACCTCCGTCACCCACCTCCACCACGTGACCTCCCTCACCCACCTCCAACACGTGACCTCCATCACCCACCTCCACCACGTGACCTCCCTCACCCACCTGCACCACGTGACCTTCCTCACCCACCTGCACCACACGGCCTCCCTCACCCACCTCCACCACGTGACCTCCCTCACCCACCTCCACCACGTGACCTCCGTCACCCATCTCCACCACGTGACCTCCGTCACCCACCTCCACCACGTGACCTCCCTCACACCACCTCCAACACGTGACCTCCATCACCCACCTCCACACGTGAACTCCCTCACCCACCTCCACCACGTGACCTCTCCTCACCCACCTCCACCACGTGGCCTCCACCACGTGACCTCCCTCACCCACCTCGACCACGTGACCTCCGTCACCCATCTCCACCACGTGACCTCCGTCACCCACCTCCACAACGTGGCCTCGCTCACCCACCTGCACCACGTGACCTCCCTCACCCACCTCCACCAAGTGACCTCCGTCACACACCTCTACCACGTGACCTCCGTCACCCACCTCCACCACGTGACCTCCGTCACCCACCTCCACCACGTGACCTCCCTCACCCACCTGCACCACGTGACCTTCCTCACCCACCTGCACCACACGGCCTCCCTCACCCACCTCCACCACGTGACCTCCCTCACCCACCTCCACCACGGGACCTCCATCACCCAGCTCCACCACGTGACCTCCGTCACCCACCTCCACCACGTGACCCTCTCTCACCCACCTCCAACACGTGACCTCCATCACCCACCTCCACCACGTGAACTCCCTCACCCACCTCCACCACGTGACCTCCCTCACCCACCTCCACCACGTGGCCTCCACCACGTGACCTCCCTCACCCACCTCGACCACGTGACCTCCGTCACCCATCTCCACCACGTGACCTCCGTCACCCACCTCCACCACGTGACCTCCCTCACCCACCTCCACCACGTGACCTCCGTCACCCACCTCCACCACGTGACCTCCCTCACCCACCTGCACCACGTGACCTTCCTCACCCACCTCCACCACGTGACCTCCCTCACCCACCTCCACCACGTGACCTCCGTCACCCATCTCCACCACGTGACCTCCGTCACCCACCTTCACCACGTGACCTCCCTCACCCACCTCCACCACGTGACCTCCGTCACCCACCTCTACCACGTGACCTCCATCACCACCTCCACCACGTGACCTCCCTCACCCACCTGCACCACGTGACCTCCATCACCCACCTGCACCACACGGCCTCCCCACCCACCTCCACCACGGGACCTCCATCACCCACCTCCACCAAGCGACCTCCATCACACACCTCTACCACGTGACCTCCGTCACCACCTCCACCACGTGACCTCCGTCACCCACCTCCACCACGTGACCTCCCTCACCCACCTGCACCACGTTGACCTTCCTCACCCACCTGCACCACACGGCCTCCCTCACCCACCTCCACCACGTGACCTCCCTCACCCACCTCCACCACGTGACCTCCATCACCCATCTCCACCACGTGACCTCCGTCACCCACCTCCACCACGTGACCTCTCTCACCCACCTCCAACACGTGACCTCCATCACCCACCTCCACCACGTGAACTCCCTCACCCACCTCCACCACGTGACCTCCCTCACCCACCTCCACCACGTGGCCTCCACCACGTGACCTCCCTCACCCACCTCGACCACGTGACCTCCGTCACCCATCTCCACCACGTGACCTCCGTCACCCACCTCCACCACGTGACCTCCCTCACCCACCTCCACCACGTGACCTCCGTCACCCACCTCCACCACGTGACCTCCCTCACCCACCTGCACCACGTGACCTTCCTCACCCACCTCCACCACGTGACCTCCCTCACCCACCTCCACCACGTGACCTCCGTCACCCACCTCCACCACGTGACCTCCCTCACCCACCTGCACCACGTGACCTTCCTCACCCACCTGCACCACACGGCCTCCCTCACCCACCTCCACCACGTGACCTCCCTCACCCACCTCCACCACGTGACCTCCGTCACCCATCTCCACCACGTGACCTCCGTCACCCACCTCCACCACGTGACCTCTCTCACCCACCTCCAACACGTGACCTCCATCACCCACCTCCACCACGTGAAACTCCCTCACCCACCTCCACCTACGTGACCTCCCTCACCCACCTCCACCACGTGGCCCTCCACCACGTGTCCTCCCTCACCCACCTCGACCACGTGACCTCCATCACCCATCTCCACCACGTGACCTCCGTCACCCACCTCCACCACGTGACCTCCCTCACCCACCTCCACCACGTGACCTCCGTCACCCACCTCCACCACCTGACCTCCCTCACCCACCTGCACCACGTGACCTACCTCACCCACCTCCACCACGTGACCTCCCTCACCCACCTCCACCACGTGACCTCCGTCACCCATCTCCACCACGTGACCTCCGTCACCCACCTTCACCACGTGACCTCCCTCACCCACCTCCACCACGTGACCTCCGTCACCCACCTCTACCACGTGACCTCCATCACCCACCTCCACCACGTGACCTCCATCACCCACCTGCACCACGTGACCTTCCTCACCCACCTGCACCACACGGCCTCCCTCACCCACCTCCACCACGTGACCTCCATCACCCACCTCCACCAAGCGACCTCCATCACACACCTCCACCACGTGACCTCCGTCACCCACCTCCACCACGTGACCCCCCATGACCCACCTCCACCACGTGACCTCCCTCACCCACCTCCACCACTCTGACTTCCCTCACCCACCTCCACCACGTGACCTCCATCACCCACCTCCACCACGTGACCTCCCTCACCCACCTGCACCATGTGACCTTCCTCACCCACCTCCACCACGTGACCTCCGTCACCCATCTCCACCACGTGACCTCCCTCACCCACCTGCACCATGTGACCTTCCTCACCCACCTCCACCACGTGACCTCCGTCACCCACCTCCACCACCTGACCTCCCTCACCCACCTGCACCACGTGACCTTCCTCACCCACCTCCACCACGTGACCTCCCTCACCCACCTCCACCACGTGACCTCCGTCACCCATCTCCACCACGTGACCTCCGTCACCCACCTTCACCACGTGACCTCCCTCACCCACCTCCACCACGTGACCTCCGTCACCCACCTCTACCACGTGACCTCCATCACCCACCTCCACCACGTGACCTCCATCACCCACCTGCACCACGTGACCTTCCTCACCCACCTGCACCACACGGCCCTCCCTCACCCACCTCCACCACGTGACCTCCATCACCCACCTCCACCAAGCGACCTCCATCACACACCTCCACCACGTGACCTCCGTCACCCACCTCCACCACGTGACCCCCATGACCACCTCCACCACGTGACCTCCCTCACCCACCTCCACCACTCTGACTTCCCTCACCCACCTCCACCACGTGACCTCCATCACCCACCTCCACCACGTGACCTCCCTCACCCACCTGCACCATGTGACCTTCCTCACCCACCTCCACCACGTGACCTCCGTCACCCATCTCCACCACGTGACCTCCCTCACCCACCTGCACCATGTGACCTTCCTCACCCACCTCCACCACGTGACCTCCGTCACCCACCTCCACCACGTGACCTCCCTCACCCACCTCCACCACACGGCCTCCCTCACCCACCTCCACCACACGGCCTCCCTCACCCAGCGCCCCCTTACCCCCCCTCGTACCCCCCCGCAACCCCCCCTCCCCTCCCGCATCCCCTGCACCCCCCCACAGTCGTGAACCCCTGCATGGAGGGGGCCCCGCCGTGCGACCCCTACGCTCGCTGCAGTTTCACCGGTCCCGGCCGCCACACATGCCACTGCCTGCCGGGGTTCCGGGGCGACGGCCGCGTCTGCGTTCCCGTGGACCCCTGTGCCAGCGGCTACGGCGGCTGCGCCGACAACTCCACCGTGTGCGTCTACGACGGGCCCCGGAAAGGTGAGGATGCTCCTCCTCGTCCTCCTCCTCCTCGTCGTCGTCGTCGGGTAGCAGCGGCGGTCATAATCGTCAGTGGCGGTGGCTACGCTGCTGCCTGGATTCAGCAGATAGGCAGCAGATAGCCCTGCCCACTACTCGAGTAGCCCCGCCCACTACTCAGATAGCCCTGCCCACTACTCGAGTAGCCCCGCCCACTGCTTGGGTAGCCCCGCCCACTATTCGGGTAGTCCCGCCCACTGCTCGGGTAGCCCCCGCCCACTACTTAGGTAGCCCCACCCACTACTAAGCCCCACTTTGGTAGCTCCACCCACTGCTCAGGCAGTTCCATTCCTTACTCAGTAGCCCCTCCTTTGCTCCCATGACACTAAGACGCTGCTACCGATGATGCCATTGAGCACACCCCCTCGCCTCCCCCCCCCCCCCCCCTGTGCCACCCACGCCGTGCCCCCCCCCAGTCTCACTGCGAGTGCCGGGACGGCTTCGAGGGGTCTCGTGGGGCGAGCGTGTGCACCCTGGTGGACATGTGCGCCTCCGGCCTGGCGTGCCACACGCACGCCACCTGCATCACCGTGGGGCCGCGCCTAGCCGAGTGAGTGACCAGCGGACCTGCCTGCCCCCAGCCACGACCTCGCTCACCACCTGGCGCCCTCTGGTTGTCGCTGGCCGGCCAAAAGCAGCGGCGGCTTTTGGCCGGCCGGCGAACAGAGGCGGCGGTCACCGCACCGGGCACTTTCAGATGAGCTTCTGCGGCCGTCTGGAACGCTCTTCCTTCCGATAGTAGGAATTCACACGGGGGCTTCGCACTTTTCCGTCATCATCTAGATTGACAAACTCACTTCTTTAGAACTGCTTTTTGTGCTTAGTTTGTTGTCCTTCCCCCGGTCTTCCGATTCGCACGGTTGGCTACGTACAGTGCGAAAAAAGTTCAACAAACACACATATACGTGGCCCGTGTGACCGTACCTGCAGCCTCTGGGTCCTCTTGAACTGCGACCTCTGGCTGTCGTAACCTGTGACCTTGCGTTAACTACCCATGACCTCTGGACACTTGTTTTGACCTGCGACCTCTCGTAGCCTTTCGCCTGTCACCACAAATTTCGGGCACGTGGCCGCACTATCCGTGACCCCGGGGTCGTGAACCTCGGCCGTACAGGACGCGTTACCCTCGAACGCGCTGCGACCCATGACCTCGCGTCCCATGGCGACCCCGCGACCCCGCGCCAGGTGCTCGTGCAAGGAGGGCTACGTGGGTGACGGCACGGTGTGCCACGGGCCCATCATGGAGCGCGTGAAGGAGATGAACGGCCTCGTGGGGTGGCGCTGGCAGGGCAGGCTCACGTCCTCGCTCACGCTCTTCGGTAATGTTGGGCCTGGGCGGCCCGCGAGTGGGGGGGGGGGGGGGGGGGGGTGGGAGGGGGCTTTCAGGAAAGGCAGGCTTTTTTTTCCCCCCCACCAACCACGGGACAGATTTATGATTCACGTCCCCACGTGCCACTGTGAGGCCCAAGACCTCTTGGGACCCCCGGGTGGCCCGCGATGGTGGCGCCTGGATTTTTTTCCTCCGGGTCCTCCGCTTTTTTTCCCCCCTCCGCGCTTCAGAATCGACGTCGTGCCATTCGGAGCATTTGCCCGCTGTGAATGTCCACGTGATGATGAGAGCCGCTAGGTCGAGCTACCATTTGTGATGGCCGGTTCGCTCCTGGTTAAAGATCTACGCGGCTCAATGGGGCCTTACCTGGTCAAATAAAAATAGTAAGTCGGTGGTGGGTGATCGAGTGGGGGGCGAGTGGGTCGCACGTTGAGACCAGGTGCCGGTGGATCTAGACGGTGCCTGATATGCACGCCCGGCACAGGGGGCCGGCGAGCGAAATAAATAAGACGAGGCATTGTTTGGGGGGGTGGGGGTGGAATTTGCGGTAACAACAACAACAGCAACAAAACGCCACAATATTTCAAGAGCCGCAGTGCACTGTGGGGGTGAATCGGAGAGACAGTGGTGGTCCTTAATAAATAATAAATGACGTCACGGAGCAGCTCTTTAAAGAGCCACCGCACGCGGCTCCCGGAGCCGCAGGTCACCGACCCCCTGTCCGTGGTGAACTGGACTCCCATTGCGAACTGGACCGCCGCGTTACCGCCCCTTGATGTCACCAGAGTGATGTTGGATATTATGGACTCGCCTTTTGCCCGTCCAAGGACGGGTGCATTGCAGTCAAATCCGAAACTCGCAAGCGAAAAGCGGAGCGCGACGTGATAGTCATTGCATCCATTCGCGTGCGATTTGTCAGGCCGCGGTGACACAGACCTATATCGTTTTAAGGTTATAGTCCCTTGTTCATCACGACGTCCTTTTTACTTCGATGTCTCAACAGCGTTACGGAGATCACGTGATGACGTGAGGGTTCTGCCTTTGTAGTGAGGGTTGTGAGTTGACGCCGAGGAGGGGGGGGAGGAGGGGGGAGGAGGGGGGAGGAGGCGCCTCGCCCCCCCATGTGGAGTGACGTCAGCCGCTAATATTAATGGGGGGTGTCCATTTGGAAGACGTCACCTGATCATGATTATTAATGAGGGGGGGGGGCATGTGGAGGATGTAACCTGTTCATGATAATTAATGAGGGGGGCTGGTCGACGTGAAGTGACGTCATGTGCGGGACACACAGACATTCTTGGCCCATTATCGTAGTAAATTACAGAGTGATGGTGTTTGTGCGATGAGTGATGGTGAATCGAATGGGTGTCAGTATGATGAGGACAATGTGTTGATGATGGTGGTGGTGGCAACGTTGACGTTGCTGTTGGGCGTTGTTGATGATATCGATGTTGTTGATGTTGATGATGTTGGCGATGGTGGTGGTGGTGGTGATGTTGGTGGTGGTGATGGTGGTGGTGGTGATGTTGGTGGTGGTGTTGGCGGTGGTGGTGGTGATGTTGGTGGTGGTGGTGATGTTGGTGGTGGTGGTGGTGATGTTGGTGGTGTTGGTGATGTTGGCAGTGGTGGTGGTGATGTTGGTGGTGATGTTGGGGGTGGTAGTGATGTTGGTGGTGATGTTGGTGGTGGTGGTGGTGATGTTGGTGGTGGTGGTGGTGGTGATGTTGGTGGTGGTGATGGTGGTGGTGATGTTGGTGGTGGTGGTGGTGATGTTGGTGGTGGTGATGTTGGTGGTGGTGATGGTGATGTTGGTGGTGGTGTTGGTGGTGGTGTTGGTGGTGATGGTGGTAGTGGTGGTGATGTTGGTGGTGGTGGTGATGTTGGTGGTGGTGATGGTGGTGGTGGTGGTGATGTTGGTGGTGGTGGTGATGTTGGTGGTGGTGATGTTGGTGGTGGTGATGGTGATGTTGTTGGTGGTGGTGTTGGTGGTGGTGGTGATGTTGGTGGTGGTGATGTTGGTGGTGGTGGTGATGTTGGTGGTGATGTTGGTGGTGGTGATGTTGGTGGTGGTGATGGTGGTGGTGATGGTGGTGGTGGTGGTGATGTTGGTGGTGGTGGTGATGTTGGTGGTGGTGCGTGTGAAGGTTCGGTGTTCTCGTGGACGCTGAACTCCCTGGGCCCCTTCACGCTCTTCCTCCCCGTCGACTCGGCCTTCAAGAACATGAACGTGAGACGCACGGAGACACACTGAGACACAAAGACATCGATGCCCCCTTTAGTCTGTAACAGACTGTTGGGGCAAGTGCTGCTAGCAAGCACCTACTGAGGGCGGCACGGTACACGAGGGGGTGGGTGCCCAGCGCGACGCTCGGCCGCCTTTGTCTCCCCAGTGGCGATGTGCACCTGTGTGTGTGTGCACCTGTGTGTGTGTGTGCACCTGTGTGTGTGTGTGCACCTGTGTGTGTGTGTGTGCACCTGTGTGTGTATGTGTGCACCTGTGTGTGTGTGTGCACCTGTGTGTGTGTGCACCTGTGTGTGTGTGCACCTGTGTGTGTGTGTGTGCACCTGTGTGTGTGTGTGCACCTGTGTGTGTGTGCACCTGTGTGTGTGTGTGTGCACCTGTGTGTGTGTGTGCACCTGTGTGTGTGTGTGCACCTGTGTGTGTGTGTGCACCTGTGTGTGTGTGTGCACCTGTGTGTGTGTGTGTGTGCACCTGTGTGTGTGTGTGCACCTGTGTGTGTGTGTGTGTGCACCTGTGTGGTGTGTGCACCTGTGTGTGTGTGCACCTGTGTGTGTGTGTGCACCGGTGTGTGTGTGTGTGCACCTGTGTGTGTGTGTGCACCTGTGTGTGTGTGCACCTGTGTGTGTGTGTGCACCTGTGTGTGTGTGTGCACCTGTGTGTGTGTGTGCACCTGTGTGTGTGTGTGTGTGCACCTGTGTGTGTGTGTGTGCACCTGTGTGTGTGTGCACCTGTGTGTGTGTGTGTGTGCACCTGTGTGTGTGTGTGCACCTGTGTGTGTGTGCACCTGTGTGTGTGTGTGCACCTGTGTGTGGTGTGTGCACCTGTGTGTGTGCACCTGTGTGTGTGTGTGTCAGGTGAGCGGGTTGCTGGCCGACGCGCCGCGTGCGCTCCGTCTGTGCGGGGCCCACGTGGTGCCGGGCCGCTTGGCGCTGCAGGAACTCTCCTCGCTCCCCGCTCTCTTCTCCCTCACCGGCTCCCGCATCAGCCTCATCCCCAACACCAAGGTCTGCCGCTCCGCGCGTCACCCCGTGTGTCTCTACCCCTGTCTCCCGTGTCTCTCACCGTGAGTCTCCCCATGTCTCCCCTTTAGTCTGCCTGCCTCCCCGTGTGTCTCTCCTCCTGTCTCCCCCTGAGTCTCCCTATGAGTCTCCCTCTGTCTCTCCGTGAGTCTCCCTGCCTCCCCGTGTGTCTCTCCTCCTGTCTCCCCCTGAGTCTCCCCCTGTCTCCCTATGAGTCTCCCTATGAGGTCTCCCTCTGTCTCTCCGTGAGTCTCCCTGTCTCCCCGTGTGTCTCTCCTCCTGTCTCCCCCTGAGTCTCCCCCTGTCTCCCTATGAGTCTCCCTATGAGTCTCCCTCTGTCTCTCCGTGAGTCTCCCCCTGAGTCTCCTTCTCCTTCTGTCTCCCCCTGAATCTCCCTCCGTCTCCCCGTGTGTCTTTCCTCCTGTCTTCCCCTGAGTCTCCCCCTGTCTCCCTATGAGTCTCCCTGTCTCCCCGTGTGTCTCTCCCCCTGTCTCTCCGTGAGTCTCCCCCTGAGTCTCCTTCTTCTTCTATCTCCCCCTGAATCTCCCTCCGTCTCCCCGTGTGTCTCCCCCTGCCTCCCCGTGTGTCTCCACACGTCTTCCTCCGTCTCCCAGTGTCTCCGCGTCTCTCCCCGCGTCTCTCCCCGCGTCTCTGCGCGTCTCCCGGTGCGGTGTCCCTCTGCGTCGAGCGCCTCCTCACCCCCCACTTCTCTGATTTCCCCATCCCGGTTCCCACCCCCCAATCCCCCCTCCCCTCCAGGACCCCTTCTCCCCGCGCCTCCTGGCGCAGGGCTCGACGCGCAAGGTGCGGATCGTCCAGGGCAACCTCACGGCCGCCAACGGCATCGTGCACCTGGTCGACTGGCTGCTGGGCGCGCCGGGCCCCAGCGTGCCCAGCAATCGCCAGGTGGGCCGGGGTCAGGTCGGGGCTTCGCAGGGGTCAAAGCCGCTCGCTAACCGGCTCAGGTCGGGTCACCGACCCGGCCCGGTGGCTCGCCGGCAGAGCGATGCGGCTCGGCCATCAAAAGGGTCACGGGTGTGAACCCCGCTAGGGGTCATGGACAGTCGTCCCTCCGTTGTACGAACGAGGTCGTGGGTTCGATCCACGCGCTGACGTCCGCTGTATATTTGGAGTTTGCGTGTCTCTCTCTCTCTCTGTCCCCATGGTGGTCGCGTCGATATTTCTCCAGGTCCTCCGGTGTCCCCATCCACATTTAGAATCAACGTTACGCGTTTAGCGTGTTTGGCCGCTAAACATTCCCACGTGATGATAACGCCAATTGGTTGAGCTGTCATTTGTGGCCAGGTCGCTTTATGAAAAAGAACTACGCACGGAGTGGTCAGGTGACTACATCACGTGGTGTACGGAGATGTCATGTGGTGTACGGAGAGGTCACGTGGTGTACGGAGAGGTCAGGTTACTATATCCCGTGGTGTATGGAGATGTCACGTGGTGTAGGGAGAGGTCAGGTGACTACATCACGTGGTGTACGGAGATGTCACGTGGTGTACGGAGAGGTCAGGTGACCCAGCTGACCCGTGACCTCTATTGTCCAGGCTCTCCTGTCCGAGATCATCGCCACCAACGCCATGTTCAGCCACTTCCGATCCCTGCTTGAGGTTAGTGGCGTCGTGATGTGGATGTGGATGATGACAGTGATGATGATGATGACAGTGATGATGATGATAGTGATGATGATGATAGTGATGATGATGATGACAGTGATGATGATAGTGATGATGATGACGACAATGATGATGATGACAGTGATGATGACGACAGTGATGATGATGACAGTGATGATCATGATGACAGTGATGATGACAGTGATGATGATGATGACAGTGATGATGATGACGACAATGATGATGATGATGACAGTGATGATGATGATGATGACGACAGTGATGATGATGACGACAATGATGATGACAGTGATGATGATGACGACAGTGATGATGATAACGACAATGATGATGATGACAGTGGTGGAATTGATGGTATTAATAGTAGCGATGGTGATGATGTTGGTGGTGGTATTAATATTATCAGCAGTAGTGATGACGATGATGATGATGTTGGCCGTAGTAGTGATGATGGCAGTAACAGTAGCGATGATGATGGTGATGATATTGATGATGATGATGGTGTTGGTGGTGGTATTAATATTATCAGCAGTAGCGATGTTGGCCGTCGTAGTGATGATGGCAGCAACAGTAGCGATGATGACGATGATGAGCGGGATAGTAGTGATGTTGGTAGCAGATCGTCACCATCATCATCATCGTGACGACGACGATGACGACGACGGTAGGAGCAGGAGTGTGAATTACGGTGGCACTCCACGTCACAGCAAGGCTCAGGGCCTGTGACGGGCTGCTGAGCCTGATGGTGGCACCACATTGTCGGGCGTGGTTGCTGGCCACCCACCCCCTCGTGTACCGTTCCGGCCTTCATAGGTGCTGCTCGCTAACAGCACTTGCCCCTACAGTCTGTTGAGGCTACACGGTGGGGGATCTTTGTCTGTGTGTGTGTGTGCGGTAGAACTCGGAGCAGCCCGGCCTACTGGATGCACAGGGCCCGTTCACAGCGTTCATCCCCACCAACACGGCCATCGACCGCATGCGTGACGGCAGGCTCTCCTACCTCTTCACCTCCCGAGGTGAGCCGCTCGCCCACCTCGTCACTCCGCCCACCTCGTCGCTCCCGAGGTGAGCCGCTCCATCACCCCGTCGCCACCCGTGGTGGTAAGGTGGTGGTGGTGGTGAGGAGGTGGTGGTGGTGAAGAGGTGGTGAGGAGGAGTTGGTGATGAGGAGGTGGTAAGGAGGAGGTGGTGGTTAGGAGGTGATCAGGAGGTGGTGGTGGTGAGGAAGTGGTGGTGAGGAGGTGGTGAGGGTGGCGGTGAGGAGGTGTAGTGGTGGTGGTGGTGAGGAGGTGGTGGTGAGGAGGTGGTGGTAAGGAGGAGGTGGTGGTGAGGAGGTGATCAGGAGGTGGTGGTGGTGGTGGTGAGGATGTGGTGGTGAGGAGGTGGTGAGGGTGGTGGTGAGGAGGTGGTGGTGGTGGTGAGGAGGAGGTGGTGATGAGGAGGTGTTGAGGAGGAGGTGGTGAGGAGGAGGTGGTGAGGTGGTGGTGAGGAGGTGATGAGGAGGAGGTGGTAGTGGTGGTGAGGAGGTGGTGAGGAGGTTGTGGGCTGTGTCGGCTTGTGGTGCAGGGTCGCCACAAGCTCAAAGAGTTGGTTCGACATCACATTGTGCAGGGCTCCGAGGTGAGTGTACCACACTCACCACACTCACCACACTCACCACACTCACTACCACCACACTCACCACACTCACCACACTCACCTCACTCACTACCACCACACTCACCACACTCACCACACTCACTACCACCACACTCACCACACTCACTACACTCACCACACTCAGTACCACCACACTCATCACACTCACCTCACTCACCACACTCACCACACTCACCACACTAACCTCACTCACCACACTCACCTCACTCACCACACTCACCTCACTCACCACACTCACCACACTCACCACACTCACCTCACTCACCACACTCACCACACTCACTACCGCCACACTCACCTCACTCACCTCACTCACCTCACTCATCACACTCACCACACTCACCACACTCACTACCACCACACTCACCACACTCACCACACTCAGTACCACCACCACACCTCACCACACTCACCACACTCACCTCACTCACCACACTCACCACACTAACCACACTCACTACCACCACCACACTCACCACACTCACCACACTCACCTCACTCACCACACTCACTACCACCACCACACTCACCACACTCACCACACTCACCACACTCAGTACCACCACACTCACCACACTCACCACACTCACCACACTCACTACACTCAACACACTCACTACCACCACCACACTCACCACACTCACCTCACTCACTACCACCACTACACTCACACACTCACTACCACCACACTCACCTCACTCACCACACTCACCACACTCACCACACTCACTACCACCACACTCACCTCACTCACCACACTCACCACACTCACCACACTCACTACCACCACACTCACCTCACTCACCACACTCACCACACTCACCACACTCACACTCACCACACTCACCTCACTCACCACACTCACCACACTCACACTCACTACCCCCACTACACTCACCACACTCACCACACTCACCTCACTCACTACCACCACCACACTCACCACACTCACCACACTCACCTCACTCACCACATTCACCACACTCACCACACTCACCACACTCACCTCACTCACTACCCCCAGCACACTCACTACCACCACACTCACCACACTCACCACACTCACTACCACCACACTCACCACACTCACTACCACCACCACACTCACCACACTCACCATGCTCACCTCACTCACCTCACTCACACTCAACACACTCACTACCACCACACTCACCACACTCACCACACTCACTACCACCACACTCACCACACTCACCTCACTCACTACCACCACACTCACCACACTCACCACACTCACTACCACCACACTCACCACACTCACCACACTCACTACACTCACCACACTCAGTACCACCACACTGACCACACTCACCTCACTCACCACACTCACCACACTCACCACACTCACCTCACTCACCAAACTCACCACACTCACCACACTCACCACACTCACCACCACCACACTCACCTCACTCACCTCACTCATCACACTCACCACACTCACCACACTCACCTCACTCGCCACACTCACTACCACCACACTCACCACACTCACCACACTCAGTACCACCACACTTGCCACACTCACCACACTCACCACACTCACCTCACTCACCACACTCACCACACTCACCTCACTCACCACACTCACCACACTAACCACACTCACTACCACCACCACACTCACCACACTCACCACACTCACCTCACCACACTCACACTCACTACCACCACCACACTCACCACACTCACCACACTCAGTACCACCACACTCACCACACTCACCACACTCACCTCACTCACCACACTCACACTCACTACACTCAACACACTCACGACCACCACCACACTCACCACACTCACCTCACTCACTACCACCACTACACTCACCACACTCACTACCACCACACTCACCTCACTCACCACACGCACCACACTCACCACACTCACCACACTCACTACCACCACACTCACCTCACTCACCACACTCACCACACTCACCACACTCACCACACTCACACTCACCACACTCACCTCACTCACCACACTCACCACACTCACACTCACTACCCCCACTACACTCACCACACTCACCACACTCACCTCACTCACTACCACCACCACACTCACCACACTCACCACACTCACCTCACTCACCACACTCACCACACTCACCACACTCACCTCACTCACTACCCCCACCACACTCACTACCACACACTCACCACACTCACCACACTCACTACCACCACACTCACCACACTCACTACCACCACCACACTCACCACACTCACCACACTCACCTCACTCACCTCACTCACACTCACCACACTCAACACACTCACCTCACTCACTACCACCACCACACTCACCACACTCACCACACTCACTACCACCACCACACTCACCACACTCACCTCACTCACCACACTCACTACCACCACACTCACCACACTCACTACCACCACCACACTCACCACACTCACTACCACCACACTCACCACACTCACTACACTCACCACACTCACCACACTCACTACCACCACCACACTCACCACACTCACCACACTCACTACCACCACACTCACCACACTCACTACCACCACCACACTCACTACCCCCATTACACTCACTACCACCACACTCACCACACTCACCACACTCACTACCACCACCACACTCACCACACTCACCACACTCACTACCCCCACTACACTCACCACACTCACCACACTCACTACCACCACCACCACACTCACTACCCCCACTACACTCACCACACTCACTACACTCACCACACTTACCTCACTCACCACACTCACTACACTCACCACACTCACTACCACCACCACACTCACCACACTCACTACACTCACCACACTCACTACCACCACCACACTCACTACACTCACCACACTCACTACCACCACCACACTCACTACACTCACCACACTCACTACACTCACCACACTCACTACCACCACCACACTCACTACACTCACCACACTCACTACACTCACCACACTCACTACACTCACTACCACCACCACACTCACCACACGCACCACACTCACCACACTCACCACACTCACTACCACCACACTCACCTCACTCACCACACTCACCACACTCACCACACTCACACTCACCACACTCACCTCACTCACCACACTCACCACACTCACACTCACTACCCCCACTACACTCACCACACTCACCACACTCACCTCACTCACTACCACCACCACACTCACCACACTCACCACACTCACCTCACTCACCACACTCACCACACTCACCACACTCACCTCACTCACTACCCCCACCACACTCACTACCACCACACTCACCACACTCACCACACTCACTACCACCACACTCACCACACTCACTACCACCACCACACTCACCACACTCACCACACTCACCTCACTCACACTCACCACACTCAACACACTCACCTCACTCACTACCACCACCACACTCACCACACTCACCCACACTCACTACCACCACCACACTCACCACACTCACCTCACTCACCACACTCACTACCACCACACTCACCACACTCACTACCACCACCACACTCACCACACTCACTACCACCACACTCACCACACTCACTACACTCACCACACTCACCACACTCACTACCACCACCACACTCACCACACTCACCACACTCACTACCACCACACTCACCACACTCACTACCACCACCACACTCACTACCCCCATTACACTCACTACCACCACACTCACCACACTCACCTCACTCACCACACTCACCACACTCACCACACTCACTACCCCCACTACACTCACCACACTCACCACACTCACTACCACCACCACCACACTCACTACCCCCACTACACTCACCACACTCACTACACTCACCACACTTACCTCACTCACCACACTCACTACACTCACCACACTCACTACCACCACCACACTCACCACACTCACTACACTCACCACACTCACTACCACCACCACACTCACTACACTCACCACACTCACTACCACCACCACACTCACTACACTCACCACACTCACTACACTCACCACACTCACTACCACCCACCACACTCACTACACTCACCACACTCACTACACTCACCACACTCACTACACTCACTACCACCACCACACTCAACACACGCACCACACTCACCACACTCACCACACTCACTACCACCACACTCACCTCACTCACCACACTCACCACACTCACCACACTCACACTCACCACACTCACCACACTCACCACACTCACCACACTCACACTCACTACCCCCACTACACTCACCACACTCACCACACTCACCTCACTCACTACCACCACCACACTCACCACACTCACCACACTCACCTCACTCACCACACTCACCACACTCACCACACTCACCTCACTCACTACCCCCCACCACACTCACTACCACCACACTCACCACACTCACCACACTCACTACCACCACACTCACCACACTCACTACCACCACCACACTCACCACACTCACCACACTCACCTCACTCACCTCACTCACACTCACCACACTCAACACACTCACCTCACTCACTACCACCACCACACTCACCACACTCACCACACTCACTACCACCACCACACTCACCACACTCACCTCACTCACCACACTCACTACCACCACACTCACCACACTCACTACCACCACCACACTCACTACACTCACCACACTCACTACCACCACACTCACCACACTCACTACCCTCACCACACTCACCACACTCACTACCACCACCACACTCACCACACTCACCACACTCACTACCACCACACTCACCACACTCACTACCACCACCACACTCACTACCCCCATTACACTCACTACCACCACACTCACCACACTCACCACACTCACTACCACCACCACACTCACCACACTCACCACACTCACTACCCCCACTACACTCACCACACTCACCACACTCACTACCACCTCCACCACACT